GGTATCTATTCAGAATGCACATCATCAGAATAGCACAAGCCCGCAATGTAGTAATGCTCATCATCAGAGCCTTGGATTCTTGTGGCTTTCCAGTTCTTTGGCACCTTTGTTTGTTGCGAGGACACCGAGATGCAGGTCGTCATTGTGGGAGCCGGACGTGCTGATTTGGTGGCGCAGACCAAGGCATGGTGAGGTTAACTATGAACAAAAGATCAAAAAAGTATAACAATAAGTATATATCAATTAATGTATATATATATTAATATATTGATACTGAAGGGCCACAGAGGCATTGCTTCAAGAAACATTCATGCGACAAGGCAGTGGAGAAGAAGTTCCCCGACAAGTTCTTCTACGCGGGCTGGATGGGTCCTGAGCGTTATGCCCTCCTGGCGGGCTGCGACTATACCTTGCTTCCTTCCAGGCTCTTTTCTGAGACCAGAACTCATCGGTATAAGTCTTTGTAAGTCTACCATTTGGATCCATTTTGTATTCTGTGTGATGTTCTTTATCAAGATGTTGAAAAAACATGTGGTCGGTGGACTATATATATATATGATATATAGTTATATAGTATATAATATACATATTTGGATACGATGTCACCGGATGGCTATGGCAGGTGGGAACCTTGTGGCCTTGTGCAGATGGAAGCGATGCGACTAGGCACCTTGCCTATTGTGGCCCCAACCGGTGGCCTGAAAGACACGGTGGAGGCGCATTGATGACAGAAGAAAAGAAGGAAGGAAGTCTACGAACACGTATGTCAATTTCTGCATTTCGTGGAGGTGGAAACTTACAGTGGAACTTCTTTACTCTCTACAGTAGTGCTTTGCACAGGATGGTGTCAACGGTCTTTGGACAGAGAAGGAGATGACTGTTGAGGCAGTGATCGAGGAGGAGCGCCAGAGAATCTTATGCATTTGCTTTTATGCATTTCTAGGCAAGACTTGCTTGATCATGGCCCGAGTTTGTCCTTGATCCTGTTGTGGGACATGTATGGTCAAAACTGGAGTTGTGTCCCTGTAGAGGGAAGGTCATTCAACGCTCCAAAGGATCCTTGTAGGGACACCAATTTAGGAGATTTGACCACGGCACATCCAGTTTGATGTGCCACCTATGGGTACAAGAAATGGAGCAAGGGGAGTTTGTCATGTTGGCCCATGCTTCCATGGAGAGTTCCCAAACAGGAGTCTGTGAATGCTATCTCGAAGTCACTGCGCCGTGCTGCCAAGCTCTTCACTGAGGAGCCCAGCAAGGCACTTGCTCATGCCGATGCTGTGCCAAAAACACAAACGCAAACAGGGCATGACGTCAAAACAACTGAGCACAGGTGGTGAAGATGAAGCAGGCAGCCATGGCAGCCGCTGCTGAGTTTACCTGGAGCAACGCTGCCTTGCAGTACGAGGCCATCTTTGAGGAGCTGGGCGTGAAGGATGTCCTTGGAGGTGTGGCAAGCGGTCATGACACATAGACTTTATAGAGTCAGACAGAGAGCATACTCAGTACATTTCAGAACGACTGGCATAGACATGCATGCCTTTCTGATTGACCCGAGGCAGAACCGAGACAGTGACTTTGGAGACAGACAAGCAGGTCTGCTAACTCACTCTTGATTTTGTGGCAACCCAAAGGCAACAGGACACGCATGGCGTAGCAAATATTTGTATGTCGCAGTATTGCTTTTTCACCAAGATTGTTGCATCAGCATGCATCAGCATTGCATTTCTTTCCACAGCATTCTGCTGCTTGTTTGTGATAGCCTGGCAACTTTTGGGTTGCCGCTATTGTTTTTCCGCCCACAGTTGGCACATACTGAGATGACACGATTTGTTTAATGTGTTTCCGCCAATGTGGAAATGGCATCTTTGTCGCTGGGCGACGGAATGTGACACACTGCCATGAACTCCAAACACAGTGGAGTTCACAGTGGAAAGGTGTGTTCGAGGGTGCAATGGCACCTTCCAATCACTTGAATTTTGCCATCACATTGGCATGGAATCAGTTCATAGCTTTGGGGAAGTTAACTGCTATCCCAAGAAGGCGCTGTAAGTTTGTAATTTCTGTGGAGATCTGAGTTCATCTCCCGAATCATGTTGTGCCTTTTCCACACTATGCAAGACTCCACTACTTTGGTGCTCCATTCTACTAGTAGCTTCTTCAAGTCATAACGAAGCCTTACAATCCATTTGGACAATCCACCTATATATAACTATCTACATGACATCCTGTTATGCATTCTTGCATTGGGAGCCAGAGCTTCGTGGAGCAGTCACAGTGTGCCCCAAATTTTACACTGTGAGAGGATCGCGGTCTCACAGCGAGAGAAAAGACTCTTTGGAGGCCATTGCTATTGGGTTGGAGGCTATCGCTATTTGATATCCCAAAAGAAGTCTTCTTGTTTGTGGAATCGAAGAGTGTTCGATCGAGTCAACTGGAGCGTCGTTTCTTGTCTCGGCTCCGATGAAGTCGAGAAGGTTTTCCTCCGAGGACGTCGACGAGCGTACGACGCTCGTCTCGGCTCCCACGCCTAGGCTTTGGGGACTGAGAGGCTTTGAGAAGGCCTAAAAAGGGGGCGTGCCACACACTGCTCGGAGTTGGTGAAGTCACGTAACGGAGTAGAGAAATCTGCATCCTAGGTCCTAGAGGCATGGTTCACGGAGTATGGCACATGGCAGATTCACAACCCACATGCCATACTGAGCCTTTGCGTGTCTTTGTTACCGCTCCATGAACTAAGGTTAATTGTGACATTCTCACTGCGGTCTGAATGAACTGCAGGGGAGGGGTGTGCAAGTTTCGAATTAGCAAACCCCTCCATGGGCACTTTTGATTGCCATGTGGAGTGCGCCCTGTTCCTAGCGTTTCCTGGCCCACTGTGATTCAAAACTATATATAATTAAGTGGTGTGGTTTGGTTGCTTTTTGAAGAGCACCAAACTAAATGCTATTGAAGTTTGCTGAAACGAGAGCATGTCCTGACTAGCAGCAGGAACGGGTCAAACGAATGGATTTGCAACTTTGTACGTGCCAGTACAAGTCAGCGAACTGATCAAAGATCTGTTCCAACTTCCTCCAACAGCGTGGCATCTGGCTTGCGTGGAGAACACAGCTGGATGGATCCAGAAAAGCCCATGCTGCGAGTGGTTCGGGCAGGAACCATGTTTCTCCATGGCAACATGCGGCAAGACCAGATAGGGGCAAGGCCGGTCACCTTTTTTGGAGATCTGGAAGACTTGCCTTTGTGGGCGGGAATGGGTTGTTTTGAGTTATTGTTGCCTTATATACTTCTCTGCAATAAGGGGTAGGTGAACGCTCGTTAGGTGCCAAGCTAGTTGTTAGTCAGACATCAGCAGATAGTTTTGCAGCTCACTTGATTTGAAACTGTTTTCACAAAGGCTTCATAGACAGCTCGATATTGTACGAAGTTCGATTCGGGCTCGTTTGTTCCTTTCGTTTGTTTCTCGGGTGGACCGCCAGGGAGTGATGAATGCCTTGAGTACCGGCGCAGAGGCTTTGACCACAAGGGGTTTGGCAACTCAGTTACCCACAGAGGCGTTGCCCAGAAAAGGAACAATGAAAAGGAACAGAAGCTAAGGGTACCTTCAATAGGGCCCTTAGCTTCATATATCCCTTTACCTTGTTTCTTCAATGTTTTTCTTTCTTTGATTTGGCTTGTTTGATTTGGGGTAGTTGCATCAGGCACATGGATTGTTGGTGCTCCCGGAGACAAGGGACAACAGGGAGCAACTGACCATCCAAAATCAAAGCCCACTGAAACGGTTGCTGTTCCATGCTGTTCCATTGCGGAATCTCAGGTGCAATTGCCACCAGCTTTGATACCACTCCCACTGATGGCGCTGATGGTGGAGCTTTGACGCTGCATCCTGAAACGCTGGGCCATGGTTGGTCCTGATGGGTGACTGATGTTCCCAATATGACTTGGAGATATTTGGGGGGTAGAAATGGATAGAAGATGATAGAAGCCTCATTTGTTTTATGTAATCAATTGAAATCCATTAAAGGGATCCATTTGTTTTGGTGTAAAATCCATGAATTGGTGCAACATCTCCTGATGAAGGCAGGCCCTTTCTTAGACAAACGCTGCACACCTAGTCGATCTAGAAGCAGTGGACCTGACTTCTTATGTTTGGCAAACACTTTTTACTCCTCTGATCTGCATCCTAGTTAGCGTTTCAATTCATTGGCTGAGCTGCTTTCAACCCTCCCAAATCCACTCTAAGGTCGGAATACGACCAAGCGCTTCGCCGAGCAATCTCCGTTCAGGCCAAACGACCCTGAGAGTGTCGGTCGAATCGAAGATCGCATCGAACGTAACACGGGCATCGCTACGAACGGAGCGTTCCGACTACGAACGGGGCTCTCCTGGCCTTACTACGAACGTAATAAGAAGCTCAAGGACGCTACTAGGGGCTCCTGGCATCGCTACTAGGAGCATTCTTACTACGAACGTAACAAGAAGCTACTAGTAGCTATAGGCTATAAGTGCATCGCTACGCTCAGAGATTCAATCTCCTGAGATGAGATTGAATCACGTGGCCTCTCTGGCCACTCACCCCTCGCCAAACTTGAGAACAATCTCAGCTTGATATTCTTCAAGCTTGTTGCGAAAAATTGGGCTTTGTAAGACTGGAAGTCGTTTCTATATTTTCTAGTGATTCAGAGACCACTAAAGAGAAGGAGTCCGGGTTGTTGCGCTTGTTTCCTGCTGCAGCAGAGACATCATGAAGCAATCCTCGGTTTGCAAATGTTACAGGCACAATTGCTAGTCTCCCATGCCTGCGAACTTTGTAGTGCGCCAAGTTCAGCCTTTGATTTGGCAGGGAAGCCCAAGTGGGAACAAACTTGGCTGGGCTAAAACACATGTTGATTATATTTATTGTGTCTTTGCAGACTGTTTATATTCAGTATTTGACTACATTAGGCAATATATTGTTTGAGGTTGCGCTAAGCATCAAGTAGTCAAGCTTTGGCGCAGTGATATTCCTAACCTGGCTCAACGGTCCTTCATACTCGTTTCACCAGCCACTTGTCAGGCTTGTGGCAAATGCGCAGTATCACTTTGCTCCTCCTGTGTTCGCCAAAGACCTAGATGGTTCGGCCTGCATCATTCCTTTTGCATCAGAGATGATCCGTGTATTTTGTGCATAGTCTATATCTATATAGGTGGTCGTATAGATCAGCTGGCTGAGGAACACGACTGGGACCCGATCCCTGCTGCACGGAATCCCAGTTTGCCATGCTTCCGACAGGACTGACCTTGAGCATGAAACGATGCGCAAAAAATGGACGCATGCTGCGTGGAACAGATGTGAACTAATCAGCACCTTGACTAAAGCACGATATTTGTCAGTGCGTTGACTGGGAATTCCTGGCTGATATATCTATATAATTACAATTACCATCACAATTACTAATATAACTATTAAAAGCTATATATTATAACTATATGAGTTAGTTTCTTTACTATTGAGGTCCTGGTTGTGGAGACCGGGAAGTGTTCAACGTTTGGAGCTCCCAGCTGTTGGAAGAGAATGTTTGAGTCTTGCATTTGATGAGTGATGCTTCTGCATTTGAGGCGGTCAATGCAAACAGATCCATGGAAATGCATGGAAATTCAGAAAAGCGGACCGCTATGCTACTATGTCCCTGGTCAGTCGAATGAGGTCAAAGCAGTTCAATTCCAGAGAAATGCCTCACAGATCTCAAGCTCAGTGGGGGGAGCCAGCCGTACCAGCGCTTGGTAGGACGTGGTGCGTGGCAGCACACGACAACATGGCATTGTTTCCTAATTTGCTGGCTAGGCGCACACACCCTGCAGACGTATCCTGCCAGGCGTTTCAGCTTGCATTTCTTCAAACCAAAGGGCAGATCCTGTAAACGCCCAACCGCACGTGCCATCACATTCGCCCGGTGACGTTCTCCCGGTAGAAAGACCCAGTTCCTCCGGATCTTCGAGGCTTCTCAACTCTGGGATGGGCTTCTCTACTTTGGCCAGGCACGGCACCCGCACCCGTCCCGCCCTCACGGAGCGAAGCGCGAACGGACCGACCCACGCGGGCCAGCGCTACAAAACGTTCCTTCGGAGCAGAGCTGGTCCACTAAAGCTGTAGTGCTCGTTCGCAATGTTTTTGGCAAAGTTTTCAGAACAGCCCTGAATTCAACTCAGCAAGTGTCTTGGAACGTGCGTCTACCAAGTATAAGCAGCAAAGGAATGAGGCCCAAAAACAATTGTTGGTACTGTTGATTTGTTTCTAAATCTTGGAACTAGCCTTTCATCAAGAAGTCCAAATATCGCTCGGAAAACTGCAGGGGTCGGAGATGGGTACCTCTTTCTGAAGTGGAACGGGCTGACGCTCTGATTCGTGTCTCATTCATGGATTTGGGGCATGCTTTTGCTAGCAAGTTGACAACAGCGCTAGTAGTCGTGCACTTTTATCAAACCACGAAGAGTTCGTGCGATGTCATTGCACTTTGCATGAACATTTGCACCGCTGCAATCGAACATGTTTTCACTGTAAAAGACAGCATGTTTGTTAATGTTTGTTGAATAGTAATTTGCTTGCCTTTCGGAATTTGACACTTGTGGGTGGTAGTGTTGGATGTTTGGTAGGTGGGGGGGTTAATTACGTTCGGTTGGGTGTGGTGTTGGAAGATGCTACCACATGCTACCACATGCACACACGCGTTGGAAGATCATGCCACATGCACAGACACTTTATTCCTGACTTTCACTTCTCTTCACCCATCCGGTTTTGCAGTCGTGTTATTTCTGTCTATCCTGATTAATTACTTACACTCGTTATGCGAACGTGTTGACGTTACCCTGGGGTCCTTTGGTACCCTTTGCAATTTGTGCAGCAGACCTTTCAGACTCAGACCATTCTAGTCGGCGATTCCTGCCTCCCTGCACACGTCACGTTTACTTTCACAGGTGCTGTCAACCCCTCAACTGCTCAAGTGTTTACTATACAAAGGTACTGCTGTTATTCCAGTTTTGCTGGAGCAAAATTGCAAAATGCACCAGACAGGCCAAAAGTCACGTGCACTTTCAGATGGTACGTTCAAAAGAGTGCGCATTTTGCCAACGAAGATTGACAACCCAAAAAACACAGACATGCAAAGCGAAGTTGTCCACCCGGCGGGATTATTTTGTTAGGGTCAGGCGGGCAGGCCCAGAATTCCAGCTACAAAAAGAGTCCCAATAAATCCTTGGCAGTCAGGGCTTGTTCAACATTGAGAGCACAGGCGGGGACCTCGATCTTCCGGTGATCTCAACAGACACTCACTAGAAGTCTATTTCAACCGTCGACGATGACCTCATTATTCTTGAGGCCGAGCTCAACCAAAGACAACATGAGATCGTTGGCAGCCAACATGGCTAAACGATTTGTTTGAGTCATTTGATTTCCCAGTGGTCTCTTGTGTTTTTGGGTGCGTAGTTGTTTTGAGGGACGGAGCAAGTTCCAGCTGCGCCGCTTTTGGTGCCAGGGTCGTGACCCGAGTTGAGTTGTGAAGGATTCAGCATTAACCACGAAACGCAAGCTGAAAGTACACTGACACAGCTCAGCTACTACCCCTCGAATCCTCCAATCTATGCTCCACAAAAAGTCCGAGCTAGCTCAGTCAGAGCCGATGGCATGTCTTGATGCATCGATTGTTTGTAGCCGTTTAACTGCTTGCAATGTCCCAGTGCTCACACTGTAAAGAGGTGCTCGCGCTCCTTGACTCATCGGATGGGGCGATGGGGAATGGGGAGGTTTCCTCCAGGGTGAGGCCACAGTCTCCCAATCCCAGTTCCCTGTTCTTTTTGTGTGAGAAGAAGGTAGAAGTCAGGGAAGAACAGGGTACCAGCTCCCAATTGGGTTCCATGGTGGAAGATGGAAGAAGTCAGTGCCGGTCGCCACTGTGATTGACCCTTCGCGCTTGGACTGAAAAACGTCGCAGTGACCCTTCGGTGGTACCTGGTGCTTGCCCAGCATTTGGCACGACTCTGGCACGGACTCCACGGTGGACGGAAGACAGTATAGTAACTGAGCGGTTGTATCACTTCTCACGTCACACGAGAGGCCACAATCACAACAGAATAACACAGCAAAATGGTACTATAGTAAGTTCATAGGTTCTATGGTACCCATACGCACCTACCAAACTCCAGCAAAGCATGTCCCGTCAAAGTTTCAGGCAAGTACCCTGAAAACATGAAAGCACCTGGCTCTGTGATACACCAGATTGTCTTTGCTCTACTGTAGGCCCCATTTGCAGGATTTTGCAGGGGTGTTTCTCCGGCACTTTTTCGTGAAGAAAGGGTCCAGCAATCGCAGCAAGATCAACAAGTAGCTGTGGCATGGTAGCTGTGAATCGTTGCAGGGCCAGTCCGAGCTCGATGGCCTGTAGGGCTAGTACAACCTCTGCACACGTCTTCATCAATGGAAGATGGCTGCTGAGATCAATTTGGAGAGTAGAGTAGGTAGACAAAGCTGCTAAAGTCTAGTTCATGTATGTGGTTTTAAATGAATTTGTTGTTTTGGCACAACCAGTGCGTAGTTGTATCGCAGAAAGAATGGACACAACCGGACACGACAACCTCAACTTGTTCTGTTTGCCATCAAAAAAGAGTGCACATTAGAAGCTTTGTGAAATGTTGTGAATATGGTTTTCAACCACTGTCCGCAGCACTGTCCGCAGCTAAGCAGCTTCAACCACTGTCCGCCAAACATGGTTCTTTCGGTGTCTGAGGTCCTCGAAGGTGGTGAGTTTCACCTTGGAGCTGGACGCCTCCAACGAGGATCCACAATATGATGTCCTGCTGGTGGGTGTCCCAGTGGACACCGACGACTGGGACGACTGGGAGGTTCAAATTCAAAAGGTGCGACCCATGGACTCAAAGAGTCTCAACGACTCCAAGGCCAGGAATGAACAAATAATCACACTTGAAACAGCTTGAAACTACTTTTAGTTGGCTATTGTTCGGTGTTGCTTCGTCCGTCATCCTTTCTTAGCTTCTTTGCTGTCGCTTCTCTGTGGATTGTACGAAGCGATGTCCGGTGCGATCCCACCCGAGAGAGCCGAGGTGAAAAGCACCTTCTTGGAGTTTAGCGATTCTTGGCGATCAAAAGGAATGCGAACAACAGTTTTTTGTACGTGTAGTACTGGGTAGTCTTGGCAAGCTGACTACCATCCTGACTACCTCCTCCATTGCAGCTGAAGTACCAGTGAACATATGGTGAAGTAAATCTAGAGTCCAACCCCTTTTGCTGTGGTTGCCCTCAGAACACAAGGCGGCGCTGAATTGAGCGGGTTCATATTTATTGATACGTTTTTTCGTTGACTAGGAACCATAGAAAAGGAGATAAACCAGGACCTGACCAGGTTGTGAAAGGTCGATGACAAGCATCAGCTCAGGATGGTCTAAGCCTTCAAGACAGTGGCTTGGGTAACAAGACCGTTGCTTCCTTCGTTCACATCTCAAGATTGATATCTCAATTCACTAGAGAGGTTTAATCAAATTTAAATTAGCATCTGGCATCTGATCTATCTAAGCGGAGATTTGTTTAATCAGACTTCTTGTTACCACAGCTCCATGGGAATGCAAGGTATAGTTGCGCACGAACATGCAAGGTGTAGGAACTTGAAGTGTTTCTTAAATCATCTCAAATCTGTATCCGTCCAGCTGTTCAATAGATAACGGGAGGCATGGACTTCTTGTCCACACCAAAAGAGCAGCAACTGGCCAGTTGATCGAACCACACAGGTCATGCGGTCCTTCGAACCACCGAGGATTCCGTCAAATCCGCAAGGCCTTGCTGGATCGAAGGGCATCGAACGTTCACGGCTGGACTCCACGATGCGCGTGTTGGACGTGTAAAGCTTAAGAGGAAAGAAGAAGGTCCACTGATGCAGTGAAGACAGAAGCCCATGACCTACAGCGTGTACAGATGTGTACAGATGTGTACAGTGCAACCGAGCAGAAGTGTCGCTTCCGTTGCAGAATGGACCTTGGTTGCAGGCCCTCACAGATCCCATCTTTGACAAAGAGACCTACATTCAAATCTATGAGCCAGGCATCGGACCATCGGACCATACCTCGATCGATCGGACCATCGGACCATTTGTTTGCAAGAGACAGAGGACAGGTGAGTGGTTTTGTTTACAAGAATGAGAGGCACTAAGCAACCAAACGCCACACGTGAAGAAAGGAGACGCTTCAGCTTGGGACCTTTGTCCACCTTGGAAACGACGTCGCTTCCTTTGCTGCGTTCTCCTTCTCGTTCTCAGACAGGTATCGACTTCTTCCGCTTTAAGGAGCCCATGGAGCCGATGAACATAGAGCTCAACTTGCTCAATTCTCCAGTTCCTTCCCTTTGTGACAAGGAAGAGGCGAGATTTTTAATACACACCCGGATCGCATCAGAAAAAGGGTTGTACCGGAAAGGGGTTGTGTGGGATTCAACCTAGCCATGGCCATGATTCTTTTGCTGGAATGAGATGGATCTTTAATGTACAGATTTGGTGATCTAACCGAATAGATTACAACTGCAGAACTTCTGTGCAAAGTGATTTCTTGTTTTGTTGGTGTCCATACACCTTTTTCTCCTGAGGGGACACGGTCATTTTTGCGCTGGAATCCAGGGTCCGTTTATGTACCGGGCAGGACTTCGAGGACGGTGGAAGGATGGATGCGCTTTCTCAGAACACCAGCGCTCCCAGTGCTCAGCAGGCTGCACCTTGGCTGCGGCAAAAGCAGGAAAAGCCCCGAAAGTTTGAAGTAGAATAAGGACAGGACAATTTGGTTGACATTTGACTCCTCCAACCGGCGGGTTTCAGACTATTTCATGTTGTTTCTTATTTGTGAGTCGAGGAGTGCACTCCGGCCCATCAAACCAGGGATGCATATCTAGTTACTAGTTGGGGAAGGCTCCTTGACTCCTTCAGTGAGTTTGTTAGCTGTGCCCTTCCACGGTTAACACGGTCAAGAGTACTGTAAATTTGATGAAGTATCACGGACGACCCGTTTGTCTTGCAAATATTGGAGACTACGATAAGACATCCACAAGCGTATTGGTCATCAGGGTCCTGGAGGAGTTTTTGTTTTGGATGTTTCTGGTTCAGTTGTATTTGAAGCCATTGTAATTACCTCTCAGTCTTCATGGCATGGGATTCAGCGGTCAGACATTCTGACTGCTCTCAGTCTTCACATTGTGAGCTTGCATGAGTCATTGTCCAATTGTTTGGTTGGCACCCACGGTTCGATCCATCTACTGTGGCACTGTAAGGCTGAGGATACATGCGGCAAGGCAAAGGCCTGGGCAGATAAGCTGAGTGCTGGTGGTTGAAGGCCCGTTATTCTTGCGAGACAGGAAATGAGCCGCCACGCATTCGAGGCCAAGCGGCCAAAGACAACGGTGATGCTGAGGAATTTGCCGAACAATTACACAAGGCTCAAGTCCGGGCAAAAGCTGGCAAATAGAAGACACAGTTGTTTGATGTTGTTTGTAGCAGTTGTTGTATGTATAATTAGTACTGTATCAAACTGGCGTGGCATTAGCATCAGTATTTGTTGTTATTACTATGATTATTAGTAGTGTAGTAGGTAGTAGTTAGTAGTAGATAGGAGTAGATGGTAGCAGTAGTCGTCGTCGTCGTAGTAGCAGCAGCAGCAGTAGCAGTAGCAGGAATAGTAGTTGTTGTGGTCGTTGTTTGGTGTCACGTATCGTGAAAGCTTCAAGAGGTCAACTTGCAAAAGTCCATTATTGAGTTATAGGCTATAGGCAAGAGTACAATGTAGAGAAATGCACCAAAAGCCAAAGCATGGGTGGGCAAAGCAGAACGCTACCTTTAACTTTAATTGAATCCAATGGCAAAAGCAAGACAAATAGAATGCACATTCGGGCAAGCGGTAACTTGCTTTGTGCGGAAACGGCTAACGGAAGGCAAACAAGGCGGAAAGAAGAAAGACAATGGGACGGCCAAACAGTTCAAGAAGTTCAAGAAAGACACGTCAAGCGGAAGGCGACAATAAATTTACACCTGAGCTGCCTTTGTCCAACCTTTCTTTACATTCATTTGCCCTGTTGGCTTTCATGCCTCTGAGGGGCCTTACTCCAATGGACCGTTGCCATTTGTCAAGTCATCATACAAAAGTGGTGGTACGATTTGAGATCCGATCTACCTACTCCCTCTGAGTTTCTTCTTGTAATTGGACAGACAATGTGCCCTGCTGTTGGTTGAGGTTAGCCACTAACCTGGAGGCCATCTAGGAATTAAGTTTCCTAGAATTCGAATCATTAGTGTGAGCGCTTCTGCGTCCATAGGTAGTAGTAGTAGCATATATAGCTTGTATCCCACTCCCACTCTTCTCCTTTACTTAATTAAGACAGTAGGTGTCTTAATTAAGTAAGGAGGCAAGGCCACAGGCTACAAAAAGTAGGTCAGAAACATCTCAAATTAGACTGTCAGACAGACGTGGTTGTTTGCCTTTCGGCAGGTCAATGCTGGCACACTTGCTGGATGAACGTGGCTTCACAGCGAAGTACGACTTCCTTTACTTGCCTATCGACTTTGATCGCAAGGCCAACTTGGGATATGCCTTCGTGAACTTAGTGGCTGAGGAGCTCATGGCAGCATCCAGAGCTGGTGCAAAAGCAGTGTTTGGATGCTTGTGTTGTTCTTGTCGGCATCGTTTTACTTCCTGATGGGGTCCAGGACGTGGTTGAGGAATTCTGGAGAACGTTCGATGGCTTTGACTCCTGGTCTTTTCCATCCTCAAAGGCAGATTCTTTTCGATGAGACAGACTGTTCTGAAAGTCGAATGGACCGCAAGATGTTCTGGTTTGTCAGCTTTGTATGGTTGAAAGGTCAAAATCTGTAGTGTATGTAGACCGTAGAGGAAACATGAGTAAACTAATCCTCATTTGTCGCACGCAAGGTATAGACCTATCTACAGATAATAGAAGATTCTCATGTACGATGCAAGTGATTTCCTTTGCCCACTTGGAAGATTTGTATGTTGAATGAAAGCATTTCTCCACATCGACTGACTGACGAAGGTGTGTCAAGTAAGCTGGAGTGGCCCAAAACAGGGCTTAAAGGCCCATTTGGACCGGTACAAAAACAGCCCGGTGATGCACAAGTGCCCTGGCTAAGAAAGTTGAAGCGGTATGCACTAGGTGGAAGGCCTTTATGCTAGACATTTCTTTTGACATACTCTCTTTGTGCAAACGCCATGTTTTGTCGCAAATGTGGCAAGTCCCCACGAGTTTCCTGCATAGAAAAACACATGGTGGAGCGTTTGGTGGAGTGTTTAACACATGTACAGAAAGGCAAGCTTCATTCTGTGCTTTTTGGGGAAGGCTCCACTCTTGATTGGTGTGAAATCAGGAGTGTCCCGGACGAGTACAAGCCCATTCTTCTTTCGAATGGCGTGCGCAAGCGCTTCCCTGCGCCCACAATCCGAGTCCAGCACCCCAAGAAAGCTGGAAAGCACGTATAGCAAAACATTGCAGCAAAGACCTTTGATCCCAGCCGGTGGTGCCTTGTCAGCGCTCATTTGCCATGAGATTTGGTATAATGACCATGACCTGCAGTTGTCTTGAGTCAGGACTGCATGACAGATTGAATCCGAATCCAGATGAATCACAATGCAACGGTCATGTGATAAAGTATCAAGATGCTGTGTACACCTCTATCATTGGACTGATCAGACCCACCTGGCGTTCTTGAGCAGAAGAAGAAGTGATGAGTTGAGTAACTTTGAGTCCACCTATTGGCGCGATGGGGAGGACAAAGATATGGCGTTGTCAAGTGCCAAAACCGAATTGTGCAACCCACCATATATCCAGCACCAAACAATGGGTTTGTTGACCGCACCAAAACCGTCATTGTTTGGTGCTGCGGACACTCCGAGGATGTGCCATGGCCGAACAGAATGGCTGGGTCCTGGCGCACTTGTAAAGTTGCCATAGGCTAGGGACTAATCTGGAATTTGAGTGACTCCTTTTTGGTGAGTCGCGCTTTCCCGTTCAGCCGAGGCTAGGGACTAATCTTGAATTGGAGCCCCCGCGACATGTCAGCTAATTTGTCACACAGATGTGTTAAGCTGAGAACATCCATGAGGATTCGGTGAATGGGATCGTATATAGTTGCATTGAATTCGTTATTCCAGTGGAAAGCATGTCATCTAATCCTCCTGATACGGAGGAGAGGGTTGACCCACACTTTCTCAGTTTTCTTTCATTGCGAACGCGCGCGAAGCTGATTCACTTTACTCGCTTCGAACAATCTGAGCTGAAATCAGACAGCTTTCGGATCATGAGCTGGCTCTTATCTTGGAGAAGGCACTGCATTTGACAAGCAAATGTGTGCCAGAAGGATCAGAGCACTTGGCTATGCGGCTATTCGATGGAGAGACAAGTCTGCAAGGGTTCTGGCAGAGGGTTCTTCATCAGCCCAAGTTTTGCACCTACCCTATTCCTACCAAGTTTATCACCCGGCAAAGGAATTCCATTCATACACCCCCAACGCACATTGGGGCTGGGAGCACCTTGGACTGTTGCTTTTAATCACGTTTATCACGTTTATGATATGTAGGAGGCACGGTATGGCACGGTCAAAATAAACGGAAGACTACACAGCAAACGAGATAAAGAGATGGATGTGGTATCTCAAAACGAAGGGTTTAGCCGAGAAGCGATAGTACGTATTGTTTTTATTTGCATATTATGGATGTTGCAAGTTGATAATTGAATCACGTAAATTTGTGACATACCAACCAGACTTACAGTAGAGAGAAAAGCATCAAAGCAAACTGCTTTTTGTTTGTGGTTCGCAGCAAACTGGTTTTCATCAAGAGAAGACTTGTTATATAACTAAGCATTTTGAAAGGGTCATTTGTTCGAACAGAAAAGATCGACAAATGGAACACCTCGCATTTGGATTGGTTGCCTTCATTTGTTTCTACTTCTACTTCCCCACTTCGCCGCTTGTAGCTGTTATTGGCTGAAGATTTTGGGGCACCAGTGAAGGTCAATGATGCAGGGCTCGTTGGTGCCAAAGCTGCAACTGACTGTTGATATCCCAGGGGATGTCTTGAGTCGATGAGCCAACTGATTTGCAAAACATGTTGGAGGCCATCACTCTTAGGTTGGAGGCCATGTGAGAATGACAATCAGTGACGCTGTTGCCTTTCAAAGCTAAGGCGGATGGCAGTTGCCACCTTGTTGCCACTTGGAAAATTTTGGTGTCACACTACAAGAGGTCACGGATGAGCAAACATGTATAGGATTGTGATGCACTCTATTTTGGTCGCATAATCTATATATAGTATATATATACACATAATTCTGAGGTGAAAAGTACCTTCCTGGAAGTGACCGATGGTGGCATGATGAAGCAGTACAGCAAGCTTCGTAGGGTCAAGTCGGCTTCTTGGTTTGCATAAATAAATATACATAAATAAGAAAGATAAATAAACAAAAATAATATATATATACGTATATATATAGTTATATATATACATACATGTGTGTGTGCTTGCATCAAGACACCGACATGTCGCCGGTGGATCTTTCTTGTCAACCATCGGCTTTGGGGCACTGCGCAAACTGCGGCTTTGCCCAGCCTCGCACCGGGATCCCGAATCCTCGCTCAGCCAACGAGGTGATGGACGAACTGTAACCCTTAGGGTCCTGGTAGGTGTGTAAGTAAGAGCCATCAGATTATGAAGCAAGATGCTGGGTGCAATCCTACCTAGCAAACGGAAGTCTCATTCTTTGCCTGATGACACTTTAAGCTGCAGTGTTGTTGTTTCATAAAAGCCAAGGATAGCCTGGTGCAACACCTTCTCGAAGAAGAAGTTTACACGCCGGGAAAGTTCAGCAACGAACAGGATTGGGTTTGGGGAAACTCTTGTGACACAAGTGCACCATTTGTGACCAATGAGCAGTAAGAACTATGGGCTGTCCACGGATAGTGAGTTGATGAATCGTTTCAGGCCTTTACCCTCAGCCGGGCATGGAATGCGCGATAGAAAATGAGAAATGGACAGAACATGGTTTGGGGGGCATAACAAAGCCATCCTGGCCCTTGATGTTGTTCTTGTTTCGGAGTGAACAGTTGGGTGGGTAGTCGTTGACCCAGCGTGATATCCATTTCACGCCTGGCCAGTTCCACCGAAAGCAGTGACTGCCCAGGAGCCCCAAGTCACGATGTCATCCAAGGAGTGGAAACGCTGAGATCTTTTGAGATCTTTGACTTGTTTCTCCAGCGCAGGACCTTTCTCACCGACTCTTGAATGTAGAAGCTCAAGTATTGGTAGACTGGGAAAGGTTTATATAGTAGGCTGGCTTCATGATCAAATGTGTGTTAGATACCTCATGATTTTGGCAGCCCATGCTGGTGGAGGCCAGTGACAGCAGCACATGCCCTACGCCCCGGGACCAAACGCGGGCTGTTCGGCAGAGTCGAGCTCAGCCAATGGAGCGATCAGAACAGCGCGGTCGATGGTGTCTTGGATGGGACCGGCGTTTCACACGCTCACAGGATTTTGAGATATTTGAGATATTTGAGGATGAATGAGTGCCTCATGTTTTGTGTTCTTTGCATTGATCCGTCATTTCACCCGTTTTTAGATATCCTACTTGTACGTAGGTGTGTTTCCATGCACTTACACGGTTACATGAGAGACACAACTAGAAAGCGAAGAAGAATGAGAGTCATTCCCAGAGACCGAGAGACACAACTCTGTGCAGGGCTTGTTCAGCATGGCGATGCCGAAAGGCCAAACGAGACGTGTGCCTGCATCCTTTCGCTTCGTCTCCTTCGCTTCGTCTGGGCAAAGCTGTCAGAGAGAGTTTGACCTTTGACCTGAAGCATACCATGTCTCCTCTCAGACGGGCTGTGACCTAAGGCATCCACGGGCGGCCTGCGCTTCCACGCAGGACTGCTAACTCCCAAAACCCCCGCAGGATGGAATTGGCTGACATGGAAGGACAACAGCTTGCTGTGCTCGAAAAACTGTCTATGTAATTTTGTATATTTTTGTTTCTATATCACATGCTTTCTATGAAAGCAGTGACAGTGAATGAAGCATTTCCATGATTTGTTTTTGCTCATTATGCGTTGCAATTTGCACCCAATTCCAGTCCCGTCCCTTTGTTCAGTAACGCCATCCATGTCCGGTGCAAGTTTCGCATGACAGTGACGCATGGCATAACGGGCCGCCAGGCTCACTCGCCGGACTACATGGGCCGCACCACCGTGATGATGCGAAACCTGCCCAACAACTACACAAGGTTGCTGGCGGGTCTCGGGCAAGAATGAACACCAGCAACATCACCCAGATCTCATCGCTGTTTGGGCTCTTTTTGGCTGGCTGATGTTGTTTGTTCAGTAAAGCAACCAGATAACCGTGTTGCAATTTTGTGTTGTAATTTGTTGTGTTTGATTCAACGTTTTTGAAGCTATTTGTCGTATTTGTTTGCTGCACCACCAGTTGACCAGTTTGCTTTGACTAGTGTTGACCACTTTGAAGTGCTCCTCTTTGTTTCTGCTTCTTGTGATGAGCTCATACTCCACTTGTTGGTTAGGGACATGTTTGTGGAGATGCTGAACAAGCATGGTTTCAAAGGGCTCTATGACTTCCTCTATTTGCCCCATGACTTTGACCGCAACGCCAATCTGGGATATGCTTTCGTCAACTTGGTCACTGCAGAGACTTGGAGCAGCCTGTCATTTCTTTTTTCTGTGTCGGGGGGGGTAGGCTGCGAGAAAGCTATCTTATGAAAGGCTACGTAGATGGATGAAGTAGGAGATAACTAGTTCTAAGGAAAGAGGAGCTCCCGTATACATGCAAGGGCCACGTCGTAGCGCTTTGGTTCCTAGGTTTCCAGGGAAACTCTTGCAGGGGCAATGTGTCAACAGTGTCGCCCCACAAGTGTTCGTTTAGGACGGGCTTGGGGTGCCGTCGGGGTGTTTTTAAGAGTTGTTGGAACATCATAGATTGTCCGCGATGTAGCCTACCTTCAGGTGACCCTTCTTACGAAGAATCCCTGCCAAGCTGGTGTTCAGATGGGCCATCTAGTCCGTATAGTCGTGACCAAAGTTTTGTGTTGACGTTAACGTGGTCCAAAGACCATGAATGTCAGGCATGTGTTTGGGCGAGATGAAAATCGAACATTGACAAAATTGATTTGAATCTCTGCAAGTACAGATTAGACAAGTAGAGCTGTTAGGATTGCTAGGCATTGCAAAGGACAGATGTTTCATTACTTTTGTTGCTAATATTTTTTCATCACTCAACTTTGCCATTCACCAGCTTTCACCTAGGATGCCGTAAACTCATTCTGGAGAGTCTTTGATGGCTTCGGGCGGTGGTCATTGCCGACTGCCAAGGCTTACGGCTGAGTCATCATCAGACTGACGTCCCAAGAACGTGGCAAAGAAGAACACTGGGTTTTCAAACCAGATCACTCTCATCCTTTGGATTATTTTTCGATTGATTCAGTCATGAAAGCAAGGTGAGGAATTGATCACATGTGTGACTGTTAATTTTCCTGGCAAGAGACCCCAAACAGTGTGTGTGTGTGAGGTCTAGAGTCTAGAGGTGTAGTAGCAGAAAGTCTAGAGATCTAGACGCATTGGGGTCCAGAGAGGTGATGGTGGTGATGAAGGTGGAAGTGAGTGACCTGTTGTGAGGTGTGAGAGTGAGTGAGCGTGAGTGAGAGTGAGTGAGAGTGAGTGCGAGTGAGAGTGAGAGAGTGAGTGAGAGTGAGTGTGAGTGAGAGCGAAATCTGCACTTCGAGGTTCACAAAGTGCTGCGCCTGCCACAAAGTCTGCACTTCCAGGTTCACAAAGTGCTGTGCCTGCCTCGAAATCTGCACTTCCAGGTTCACAAAGTGCTGTGCCTGCCACGAAATCTGCACTTCGAGGTTC